AGACAAAAAAAAAACTTTCAACATAAGGAGAGTTTCATTTTTTTGTGGTTAATTGACCCAAATTTTGAAATTCGCGGGGTTTTGCGGTTTGTAGTTCCGTCCGTCGCCGCGAGAGGGCTCTGCCTTTGTACGCTCTCGTTTGAGTCGTTGGTCATGGCTTTGGTTTAAGATTTTATGCATTTCTTTGTCTTATTTTGCTAGCCTAAACATATCATCTTATTTTAAATATCTTATAACATTCATAACATTCTATATGCTTACATAATTCGCCTCCGTTGGACACAGATTACATAAAATATCATCCATTATATTGCATACCAACAGATTGAGACAATTGAATGTATTTCGCCCCGGACGCTACAGAGAAATTTTGTTGCAAGTCCGTCTGTGGGAGCCAATTTCACCCTCTATTTTCCGGATTTCCTCGCCTGACGCCCCTGCACCCATTTCTCAGGTACACCTCGCCACCCCTAGAACAGCAAATAAGACCAGAGAGCTCGAAATAAAGGGTAGAAACGCGTGTTATAAGGGATAGATTCCCCCTCCCTCGGATATGCTGGGGATATGTTGGCTTCGATTATACCCGCATATCTTGCAATTTGTCGCATATCTTGCAATTTGTTGTTCATTTTGGCGCTTCTCTCTCGCCGTCGGTGGCCGCTGCGGGAGGGATTCGGTGCAATACGGTGTGGTTTCTGTGTCCCTGGTGCCTTTTTGTTCTCGTTGTGTTAATTGGGCGTCGCTGGAATGAGGAGAAGGCTTGTGTTATGTTGGGTGTTATGTTGTGTGCTATGTTGTGTGTTGTGCTATGTTATGTGTTGTGTTGTGTGTTGTGTTACGTTGGGTGTTATATTGGGTGCTATGTTGTGTGTTGTGCTATGTTGTGTGTTGTGTTGTGTGTTATGTTGGTGTTGTATCTGTTATGTTGCGGTTATGTTGTAGTTTCGGTTCTAAGTATGTTGTACTTTGGTGTCAGTTTCGGTTTCTTAAAATGACGTGGGACGAGGTAAACCTTGCCTGTTACGATAGAATGACGAAATTCAAGGCCCGTCATCTGTTGCAGATCCATGTAAGGTGATGTTAGGATTAATAGGATATTAGGTAATTAGCTTGTTAGTATGTGTTTGCTTAGTGATTTCACTAAGATAGGGATGATAAAATGACTGTCATAAAGAAATAGGAGAAAACTACTGTGGTGGATGATATTATCTGCGCAGACGAAAAAGCAAAGGCAGAATTGAAGACAGTCGGTTGCAACAAAGGACGTGCGGAGAGTAAGTCCGTGGGCATTGGGTGGAGTCTTCGGGCAGAGGCCTTGGTAGGGAAATGGTTGATTTTCTGGTTTCATATAGTCCTACAATCTTGCAATTATTATTTCTTCTTTTAGTTAACGGTGCTGTAATATGTGTGAATCTCTCGTCATTTTCCATTGCAAGTGATGTAAATAAAAGTATTGGAGATGTTTTTAAAGTGATTACTCCAGCCTGTCTTAGGAAATCCACAGAGATTGCTGTATGAAGCAAAAACCTTCTTAACTGGGAGCTTTACCCCTGTATTTGGCCGCAGAGGGGTCCAGTCACTTCATAAACAGTTGTCAATACTGTGGCTATCTAAATTTAACAATTACCTTTGCATGTCTCCATGCCTTGCGATACCTTGGCAAAGAGCCAACAAATCTCTATTACATACATTGAGGCTGTTTTTCTTCAGACTATACATTATCAGAAAAATACATAACATAATTAGTCCCAAAATACCAAGTTCTAGGCCCAGTGTACTACCTGGATGTGCTACACCTCAGAGCTAGCTTATAGTTGGGTTGAGTTGACCACCTCCCACACGATGCTGAGCTCAGCAATTGTAGACACTGTCTATATAAAGCTTTTCTCATTCCCAAATTTCTATACATGTAATGTTGGTCTGCCTAGGCCTATATTAGCTACTATCTTGAGTAGGCCCATCAGCTGGTAGATATGACAGGTCCAGGGAGAATCCTGTTTTTTAAACATATGGTTTGCTTATGTGAATTTATACAGGCAAGTGTCACCAATGCATTTTTCATTTCAATTATCTTATATATGATGGACTATCCCATTGAACCTGGGTAGCCTTTGTATATATCAGGGTAATTTTGATATCTTCATCTGCCATGGAAGCAATATCCTTTTACTGCCATTGAAATTGCCATGACATGTTCAAGTCGCTGGTAGCAATGGGATGAAATGATGCTTGTTATTCAACTGAATGGGGTTGGGTATCAGATATTTTCTTTGTGTCATAAACTCTGATGATTTTTGGCAGTGTCCAGACGCTGGGTGTGGGAGTCCGCTTCATGTAGCGGAACTTCCTGCCCCACTGCTCTGGCGCGTAGCCGCTTATACAGTTGTACCCTGCAGACTAAGCAGCTTATGAAGTGACCCGTTGGGATGGGGTGAAATGATGTAAAATATGTTACTCTGTTGCTATGCTGTTTATTTTTAAACTAATATTACCAGCACTGGGAATTTTGCCCTTCCATACTTTAACCCCCATGGCTTGTAGGCTGGGTGCATGGCTCTATGCCTCCTATTTGCAATGTTATTTCCTCTTTATGCAGAAACATTTTTAGCTTTTTTATCCTTTTCCAATGTCCATATTTGTCATTTGATTTGCATTATCCATATGGTAACAGACAGTTTTTATTGCAAAGACTCCATATCATCTCTCTAGATAGTCTACAATTCAGTGTAAGAAAATAAAAATATTCAATTTTCTGTAATACCACCTGCATCATCTGTTGGGATGCCTGGAATACAATACTGACCATGGAAATGGCATCATCCATGGAGCCAGTGCTTTTCCAGTCATGGGTCACGGATATTACATCCCTCAATTAAATATAGATGGGAATAATGCAATATTGCCAGATGAGTACAATAAAGCACCTTAGAGGTTTGTTTATTTCTCTGTACATCAACCAATTCTCTGTGTATTTTTCATATTATACCCTACAATTTTCCCAGGTACCATTCATGGCCTCCCCTGCTATTAGTGCAAAGATTGTGGGTATTGGGAGGGTTTCCTGGTAGTAGTGAGTGAGAAGTATTCCTCAAACCCAAGATTATTGCAATCTGTCGTGTGAAGGTATTCTGAGTATTTAAGTTGTATTGAAATGATATAGAGTCTAATCAAGGAAGACAGTCTATTACCATCTAGATGCAGCATATCAGACAGAAAATATAGACAATGGGAAATAACAAAAAAAAGCAAAAAATGCATATGCAGAAGAGATAGTGACATTGCAAAGCAGGAGCATTGAGTCTTGACACTGCACACAAGTGTTCGTGTGGGCTCGACTTTCAAGCCACACACCTGTGAGAGTCACTATTCAAGTAAGCCATTGGTGTCATAATTCCATTTTTTTATTTTTTTTATTTGCCGAGTGATCCCTGTATTCTGTTCTGGCTCAACTTTTTTTGGACTCCTTATATTCCCTTTAGAAATTGGATAGCTCCAATCAGATCTCTCATGTAAATCAGCTAGACTATGCCCCACCCTCTTCCCAAAATGAGTGTCTTTGTCACCTTGTCCTCTATATCCCCCTACTCTTTACTTCACCCCTTAACCCTCCACCAAAGATGGGAGAGAGAGAAGAAGTTTACTTCAGGTTTTATTGAATCTTTCCCTTCAACTTGAGAGAGAGAGACAGAGACAGACAGAGATAGAGGCAGAGAGACAAGGGCAAGTGCCGCGTACAGGAGCAACACGTCTTTTAAATTATTTGGAGGAAAACGATTAATATTTGCCATATAAAGTTAAAACAAATTGCAATAAGTAGATAGTTAGATCCCAACCATCTATACAGTGGTGTATCAGTGATATCTGTAATTTGCTCTCTCTCTCTCTCTCTCTCTCTCTCTCTCTCTCTCTCTCTCTCTCTCTCTCTCTCTCTCTCTCTCTCTCTCTCTCTCTCTCTCCCTCCCTCCCTCTCTCTCTCTCTCTCTCTCTCTCTCTCTCTCTCTCTCTCTCTTTCTCTCTCTCTCTCTCTCTCTCTCTCTCTCTCTCCCTCCCTCCCTCCCTCCCTCCCTCCCTCTCCCTCCCTCCCTCTCCCTCCCTCTCTCTCTCTCTCTCCCATCCCCCCTCCCTCTCTCCCCCCTCCCCCCTCCCCCTCCCTCTCTCTCTCTCCCTCCCCCCCTCCCTCTCTCTCCCCCCCTCTCCCTCTCTCTCTCTCTCCCCCCCTCTCCCTCTCTCTCCCTCTTTCTCTCTCTCTCTCTCTCTCTCTCTCCCTCTTTCTCTCTCCCTCTCCCTCTCTCTCCCCCTCTCTTCCTCCCTCTCTTCCTCCCTCTCTCCCTCCCTCCCTCCCTCCCTCCCTCCCTCCCTCCCTCCCTCCCTCCCCCCCCATTCTCTCCCCTTCCCTCTCTCCCTCCCCCTTCCTCTTCCCTCTCTCTCCCCCCTTCCTCTCTCTATCCCCCTCCATTCCTCTCTCTCTCACCCCCTCCCTTTCCCCGTCTCCCTCTCCATTGCCCACTTTCTAAATTTATTTGGTAGAGGTATGTTGGATTTTGATGAAGTGCAAGGGACAGAGGCCATCTGTCACTTCATGCAGGCCTGTTGTGAATATTTTCCCCATGGTGCTTTGTTGTGGGTATCCAGAGGTAGCATGAAGATCATTGTCGTGAAAGTTTCTTTTAGTTTGAAATGAGCAGGATTTTTGGTAGATTTTTAGTTATGATTATAAAACATTTATAACAGTATCTGATTTTTTTTTTCCAGATTGTTAGAGCATATTGGATATAAAAGAAAAAAATGGGGGAGGATTTACTCTCTCTAAAGTGGAATAACCACAAACCAGCATTCTTCCACCTGCTAAGAATCTTACGAGAAAAGGTATGTTGTACTAAAGAAGTGTTATGGATTTGCCTTTTGAATTTTAGATGATATTGCTCCTGAAATGTGAGAGATTTCCCACTCTTTTATATATATTTTTTTTTTCCACAGGGATGTTATACAGATGTGACCTTAGCGTGTGGTACCAAATTCTTTGCTGTTCATCGATTAGTTCTAATGGCATGTAGTGACTTTTTCAATGAGGTATTTGAGCACACACAATGCCAGAAGCCAGTTATTGTTTTGAAAGACATAAAGGGTCATGAACTGGAGGCACTGCTTGACTATATGTACCTAGGGGAGGTGGATGTGCAACAGGCTGACTTACCAGGACTCATAAAAGCTGCAGAATGCTTGAGAATTAAAGGCCTAGCAGTCCCTGATGAAGACCCTTCACAAACTGGAATTAAAACTGGTAAACACGAAGCACAGACAAGTGGCGAGCGGCCGGCCAAGAGGCGGAGACAAGAACGTGATGGGAGAGAAGGGGACCGGGGGAGTGGGGGGGACAGAGGGATACACACATCGGCTTCAGCCAATATCCTGCCACAGTACAGTCATCAGTTGGTGGGTGAGGTCGTCCCAGCAGAGGTGGATAATGTAGGGAGTCCTGGCGCTGTTCCCCTTCCAGCTGAAGATCCTTCCCACCTCCCTGTTCATGAGCAAGTTGGTTCCCAGCAGCCAGAGCTCCACCACCTGCAGAAGGAGCAGGAAGTAACCCCCTCTTCACACCTGCACGATGCGCGACTCCAACAGGAAGCACAAGTCTCACAGGAAGTGGAGGCCTACACCACCAGTGCGGCAGAAATCAAAACGGAACACTGTGAAGTACAAGAGGATATAGAAAATGGGGGATTAAAAAGTGAAGTGTCGGAAGCGCGGAGTGACCCCATGAATGAGTCGCCTGGGGGAGGTGGGGACTTTTCACACTTCTTGTCAGTTGAAGAGAATCTTGCGCACCATATGTTCCAACAGACACACCAAGCAGGCACTTCAGGAATACACAGACAAACAGTAAGTTATTGTTTTGTTTATTTGCTTGCTTGTTATTAGTGTTAGTAGGAGCTTTTCCAGTTTTAGATAATGTGCATAATTATCATTTATAATATTTTGCATAATCATATTATTGCATTGATATGTACAGGATTCTTTGTTTTTATTGCCTATTTTTTAAAATCTAATTTCTTGGTTTGTTCAAACAGATTTTTTGGGAATACTAGATTTAAATTTCAATTTTTCTAGTTTTGATTGTTATGAATGTTGTATTAGCCCTACACTGAGCTTAATCTACTTTGAGTACTCTAATCTTATTTTGATGTTGAAATTGATAATTGAGAAAATGAAATGTAATGAGCCTAAATATATTTAGGTTCATTATGATGTTGCTCTGGAGATTTTTTGTCTCTGCACATTCTTACAGTTTCAGATTTCAGATTCCATTTAGGATGATTTCCTTCTGTGTTATTTGTTTTTCTGTGTCATTTTCTTTGAAGCATTTCTTCAGTCTTGTGGACTTATATTTAGTGGAATGTTTTTGATGTTCATTTTGATATAGTAATCTGTTTGCTATTTTGCTCTCATGTCTTCTGTTGAGGTATTTGCTTTTGCTGATATTTTGTGGTTATTGGTTATTTATATTTCTATGAATTTATTTTTTACTACTGTTGTGCATTTAATATAAATAGGCATTGTAGGACTAAAGTTTAAGATTTTTTTTTTTAAGATATAGATAATGTAAAAGTGCTTTATGGTGCAATAGAATTTTGAAATAGTGAAGATAAGTTTAGAAAAAAAGGAGTTACAGTATATGTCAAAAAAGGTTACTAACATTCAGTGTATTTTGTGTTGGAAAACCTAAATGTTGGTATTATGAGTGTTAATGAAAATCAATGGTTGGATGTTGATTACTTTATATATATATGGTATTATCTTTTTCTTCTTCAGTTTCTTCACTAAAGTGTTTTACATCTTAGGTTATGAGTAAGGTTATTAGTTACACAATTAATGAGAGTAAGGTATAGTACAAATCCTAGTCCTAGTCTGAATTTAACCCATTGGTGCCAGGTAATTGGACTGTCCAGCTTAGTTTTGATTTTGATAGCTTGTTTACACAGATGGCTCCACAAGTATTCAGCCACCAAAGAGTCAGTTAACAGTCCTATGTTTTCAGAAAAGAAAATCTAGTGATATTATTATCAACACTAATTAATAATATTGTTAGTGATATTATGATTAGTGTAATTATTAATAATAATCAAGGAAAAGGGTAAACAGGTGAGATCAAGTTGGAGTAACAATTGACTCCTTAGTGAGTACACACTTGTGGAGCTGTTTGTGTGTAAAATTAGTAAATTAAGATCACAGTGGACATGGTCTTATTTTTGCCATCAAGCATCATAGGGTTAATATTAAGTTTGTCTAGTTCATAACTGCAGTTATGAACTAGACAGAAATGTCATTTACCTCTACAAAACTTACTCACAAAACCCATCATCAATTTATCTATCCCAGGGCAGAGATAGCGGTTCAGAAGTAACCACGGAAGATGGAAATATAAATCGTGGAGGCCTATACTCCACGCACCTCTTAGGAGATGTGGTACCTGAGGGAACAGCCAGCCATGCCAACCAGTCGGTAAGTAAATGACTTCCATCTTATTTTCCTCTTTTGATGGAAACTTCTATGGAGCAACTGGATTTGTGTCTCAGTTGGAAGCTTGGCCATTTCTTTAGGCTTTGTGTTTACATTGATTTTAATTGGTATTTATATATATATATATATATATATATATAGTATGTATATATATATATATATATATATATATATATGTATATATATATGTATAGTATATATATATATATATATATATATATATATATATATATATATATATATATATATATATATATATGTATGTATGTATGTATGTATATATATATATATATATATATATACATACACAGGCTTCAGTTATTGGAATATTAAAGAAATGTTATGATACTTTTTCAGTGCTTTGATGATTACCAGTTCTGTAATATTATGTCAAATGAATCTGGTTGTCTGTAAAGGTTTCCAATTTTCTTTCTGTCCTGGTTTTATATTTTTATTCATTCTGTCTCTAAGGTGAATACTATGCGTAATACTGAAGTCATCTTTTACGGTTAGAATCATTACTAATGTTAATCCATCAGTGACGGTATTTGAAATCTCTTGGTGTCATAGACTGCGATGATTTCTGGCAACTGTCCTGCCATTGGGAGTGGGAGTCTGCTTCATGTAGTAGAACTTCCCGCTCGATGTGCTAGTGTGTCGTCACGTGTATAGCCATACCCGGCAGATCAAGTGGTTTGTTATGATGGCTATGCACGTGACCTGGCAGTAACGGGTTAATACTGTAAACATGAATGTGTTTACTTCATAAAGTGAACACCACACAGGGTGCAGTAACTGGGAAGGAGACATTTTGAAGTAAAATACATATTCTTGACTATACTTATTCATTCTAATGGTGTGTGTGAATTTAGGTTGTGTCACGCTTTTAGTGCTTGAATTTGGTAGAAATGTTTTTATGGGAAAAACAGACTAACCAGCTGTCAGGAAGAAACAATAGTCTAGCCTGTGAATTTTTGAAATTTAAGTTCCTAGCACAGGATATGCAAGTCTTGATAGTCATGAATGTTGTGGAAAACTCACCCTCTCAGATACTCGGATAAATGCCTGAACTTTGTAAAAATGTATGACCCTGTGTGTAATATGGGTATTTATTTGATGCTATAACTGGATGTTATGTACTCGCTGATAAAAAATCTTCATTTTAAATAGAAACTCATGTGTGATTGTTTTGTTTTTAGGGTTATTTTATAATATGTTTATTTACATATGTATTTATTTACTCATTCATCCTTTCATTTATTTACTTAACATTATGTTGTTTACTTGTATTTAATTAACTTAACAGCTTCATGAACCTAAATGCACTGTTAACCAAGTTGAGTTTGTACTTCTAGTTCATTGGATGTAAAGGAAACTTGACCCAAATTTTTCTCTAACATATTTCCTCACATAACTTATGTTATTAGAGAATTAAGTAGGTTCATTTTGCTATGTAGATTACAGTAAGATATTTGGATATGTTTTCATTAGTTCACATGTGACTAGGCTTACTCTGTTGTATGTCTTATAAAAGAAACATCTATTTTTGTAGTCATACCCAAGAGAAAAAATGAATTTTAGTCAGTATGAATGGAAGCACATAGAAAATACTCGTTGATAATGAAGAGTCAAATTGTTATTGAACCACATTTTCCTCTAATGGGAGATGTATCTTTTCATAGAGTTGTCAATGTGGAGTTTAGGAATTGGTAACAGATTAATGTGAAACTTGAATCTCTGCCAGAAAGTGAAATGTCCTATCAGTGTTTGGTGCCCTATTGTTTGTCATAAGCCATTGAATCACAGCTAATTTGGTTGATACATATAGTCATACTGTATGGGTTGACTGCTCTATTAGGAAAAATCTGTATAGATGTAGAAGATAGCTAGACATTCAGTTGGTAAATATATATTATCATATTATCTGTAGAGATTGCTTGTTGGTAAGGAGAGGAATGAAACATTCATGTTAGGTTATTGGGAATGAAAGATTACGAAGAAGTCCAACTTGTACCTGCTTTGTATTGGTACAGAAATATACTAACAGGTATTAATAATGATAATGGTAATGTTTTAATCAATAATGATGGTGATAAGTGATGATAGTGATAATGATAATTATTATATCAATAGCAATATTACATAAAATAAGATAACAAATATGAATATACATATATACACATAGATAAAAAACAGCTTGTATCCATTAGTCATGTAAATGCATAATGCACTGTATAAATAATTCATTGTGAGAAGTTGCTTATTGTTTTGTCAGATATTTGCTTAGGTCAAGAAATGAAATACACGTAACCAGTATGACAGAAACTTCATTTGATCTTGATTTAAAATGACAATGTTATGAAAAAACTGTCTTTTTCATTTTTATTTATTCATTTTATTATCTGGAATATTCATCTGTTCAATATTACCTTATTTTAATCAACACACAACTATCATTGAGAGAGAGAGAGAGAGAAAGAGAAAGTGTGTGTGTGTGTGTGTGTGTGTGTGTGTGTGTGTGTGTGTATGTGTGTATGTGTATGTGTATGTGTATGTGTATGTATATGTATATGTATATGTATATGTATATGTATATGTATATGTATATGTATGTGTATGTGTATGTGTATGTGTATGTGTATGTGTATGTGTGTGTGTGTGTGTGTGTGTCCACCTCTCTCTCTCTCTCTCTCTCTCTCTCTCTCTCTCTCTCTCTCTCTCTCTCTCTCTCTTCTCTCTCTCTCTCTCTCTCTCTCTCTCTCCCTCCCTCCCTCCCTCCTCCCCTCTCCCCCTCTCTCCCTCTCTCCCTCCCTCCCTCCCTCCCTCCCTCCCTCCCCCCTTCTCTGTCCCTCCATCAGTCCCTTCCTCTTTCATTGGTAGGATAAATGTGAAAACATACACAAGATGAAAATGTTATAGGTTTAATATATCATAAGGTTACTTTTTGGTCCCTTTCTGTAGGAAGTAGGTATTATACTGGTGAACGATCCTAAAAGTTTGCTTTTAGTGAATGATTTTGTAAGAGGAGGTTTCATTATTTTATTGTTGAAAATACATGCACATGAACATACAACAAGTGCCTTTCCCTCTTGCTATCTGCTCCATGGGACTTTCACTGTCTTTATTTTCCTGTCTCTGTATCCTCCTATGTTTACATATGAACATATATTCATGCTGCTTCTTCAGAAATCTTGTTTTCATAAACATCTGTTTTTCTTTCTTTGTGGAGTTTATTAGTATTTTCTGGGAAAGTGCTGATCTTACATCCCCCAAAATAAGTTGAATATAAAAAGAAAAGGGAACAAAATTTCAAATAAAGTTTTCCTCACAGAAAGAAAAAAAAGAAGTAGAAAGTAAATGAATAAAAAAAAAAAAAAAAAAAAAATCCTGTGGCCGCACTGTAGCTGGGTCTTTTCTGTTTGCAGGACCCGATACCATCCTTGATTCACATGGTGGAGGGACCCGGTGGTGGGGAAACTCAGCTAAAATCTAGTCCCGGCTTTAGTGGCGCGGCCAACATGCACCTGCACTATGAGCCTCACAGAACACAAGGCGCAAATGATCGCCAATACGAGTGTATTTTCTGTGGCCGTATGTTCAATCACCGGGGGACTCTGACGCGGCATGTCATGATTCACACTGGGGAGAAACCTTTCTCGTGTCAGTACTGTAACTTCAAAACATCGCGGAAAAGCACTCTCAGCTACCACATGCATTCGTTGCACAGTGCAGTGCTCAAATAAAGTTCTGTATATAGAGTGGCTGGGTTTTTCTCTTTCCATAATCTTTATACGTGTAAGAAATAATTTGATTGATTATTTTAAAACATCTTTTTTTCCATGAGATTTCTCAGAAGAGAATAAGCCATATAATGAGACATATCCTAACTGTGTTCATTGTGACTAATGTAGAATGGTGTGAATGAGAATGAATATTTCCATGATGCAAAAGATGTCTTAGATAGGATTCAGTTATACCTTTGTCAGAAATACATGTATTACTGATGAAGATGCAATTGAAAACTGGCCAAATACTTCTCTTGCATGGTGAAGATATTCATTCTTAGTCTTTTCTACAAATGATGTTAAACCTTTAAGAGGTGAAAAACAAATGAAGACTCTTAACTTTGATATTTTACAATATCTTAAGAGATAGCAAAGGATGCCTTTCACTAATAGACACTGTTAAAACTTTACCTTACGGAATTGAACAGTTGACAATTTACTTTTAGAAACTGAAAGAACAACTCAAAACAACAACATAGCATTATGCATTATTTCAATAAAAGTCACATTCTTTGAAGGCCTTTCAGTTGATTATTATAAAGTTTTGAGATGGGAATTTGAAATTTGTTTATTTTTTACTATTATCATTGCTATTGTTATGAGGGTTATCATTGTTGCTCTTATTATTCTCATTGAATGGTAAAACACTCCATCAACACGTGTTGATACAATGGTAGAAAATCCCACAATGTTAAACTGGATTTATTGAAGTGAGATATTTTCAATAAATCTAGTTTTACATTGTGGGTTTTTTCTATCATTATTCTTGTTGTTTTAGTAGGTCTTACAGTATTTTTACTCTTATGAATAATTTCATTATCTTTATCACCATCATTATCTTTATTATATAGATTTCATCTGGTTAATCATGGCCCAAAAACTAGTGGAAAATGAGTGCCAAGAGATTAATTTTCTTTTAGATATTTATGGTATACATATTTTGCAGCTTGAATTTTGGGCATTAGCAAAGGTTTTGTACTATCTTGGTGCATTCTAGGCAGTTTCATTATGATTGAACCAGTTGTACATGTAGGCCAGGGATGTGATCAATGGTTATCCACATACTACACTATTACTTATGATGAAAGGGAGAGGAAGACAAACAGGCAGACAGTGTACTTAAATCTGCAACCCTTGTGTTTTCAGTGCCTTTTTTGTGAATTTTGTTAAGGGACTTCATGTTCCCCCCGCCCCATT